ATGCGTTTAAATATATATTGTTGTCATGTTACTATATAAAATAAAATATTATTAATTTTATAAAAGCGTTGAAAATAGTTTATGGAACAATTGTTGCTATTACATTATTGACGTCTTTATTGTTTTTAACTTAAGCATTGTTAAAAATAAAAAATAGTAATTTAGTCTAAAATAGCAGTTAATTGGTATAAATTATGCAATAAAAGTTTATGTTTGGTATAGACAAACACATTTATATTATTGAAACTTTAGTTTATAAATAGAAGTATTATTGTTATTAATGTTTTCTGATTAAATATTAAGAAACGTAATTGATTTATGAATATTGATAAATTACATAACATACAGATTAATATAGTTTCGAATTAAACAAAGTGCTAATGCGATGAGTTTGTCAGTTTAACGACTTAATTTAAGGCGGGAATTCGAAGAACAAATAAATGAGTGTAGGACACACTATCTAACACGCCCATCAATTTTTTAGCGACCGCCTCGATTTCAATGATGAGTTTACGACTAATATTTATCCATTAATGATTTATGTTTCATTAAAATAAAAATCACATTATGTGTTTAAAATGTATTTTATTTTTAAGCGAATAATGTTCGTGATTTACGTAATGGTTTGTTAGCTGATTAATTTTCTTAGGTAAATACATACCTAAGATTAGGGCCCAAATTCAATTTATTTCTAAAAAAATACGTTTACTAAAACGGCATAATGACATTTAAAAAATTTTAAACACTAAGAAATATTAACGCCAATATACAATTACAAAATTGTAAAAATATTTTGTCGTTATAATCAGTGCTCGAATTGGCCAAAAATAAGTAGGGGAGCTCAACTTAACAATTTGAAAACTGCGTCCCTAGTATTTTGAAGACTTTTTTTTTTTTTTACTCATTACTTTATTTAGTATTTATTAATAAATCATATTTCATTATCATACTAATATTAAAAAAAAAAAAAGAGGTGGTATTTTCCACCGTCCTCCCGTCCCAATAAAAAAAAGTAGTTGGGGTGCGCAAAAAAATTTTAAAAAAAGTAGAGGAGCTACGTCCCCCTGCGCACCCCCCCAATTCGAGCACTGGTTATAATTTAAAAGGTTAATGACTCGTATTAAATTGTGCATTTACTAACTAATTATTTTTTCTTGCATATAATTTTTTATTAGCTTACGTGTCTGCGTTAGTCTTTAAAGCAAATCTTACCCAATAAAAATTACATGCACTCGTTGTATAATCTGTTGGCTTTTGTAAATATGGTTGTACACTTTTATTGGAGTTTTTATTGCCTACGTGCATTTCTAATGTATGCATATGTTCCAAAACAGCGTTAATATAATTCACAGTGTGATAACATCCTTGTTTGCACTTTTGCTCGATGATTGCCCTTAAGAATCGGCATTATCTTTTTTAATGAATTCTGTTGGACTCCTCCTAGCCGGATGACACAATTATTTAAATTACACGTTTTTGGTACTTCACACTTGTACAAGGATTTTCAATTCAAATAGCAAATCAACGGCAATCATTGCAATCGCAAAAGACAAGTTGATCTTGTGGCTATTGGTGTCAATATTGATTACTACTCTTGTCATAAAAAATATTTTAAATAATATACATATATATATATATATATCATCTGCTCTTACTATGTGACAAATTACTTACCGATTTTGATTTCGGATTACTCCACACGCGGGTGGCACACAATATTGCTGTTGTGCTGTGGACCGGTCACGATTTTTTGAGAAGCGTCGCTACTGATGACATAGTGTGCATTTAAAAAAGACCAACTAAATTAGTAACACTTGGGTATATAACTAAATGGGTTCTGATTATCACGTATTATTTTGTCTCGTTTGAACATGATTACATTTTTATGTAACGTACACTTACCAATATGCCACAAATCAGAGGATACGATAATAACGCAATACCAAAAAAAAGTCGTTTCTCATTTTTATAAAACTGTTCAATTAGAATATTCATAAGATTTGTGTTGAATAAAATTATACAGGAAACAAGTCAATTGTTATAATCAATGAGAACAAAAGAAACACTTTAACTGAACATTGGGTATAATTTTGCATGACTTTTATAGTTCATAAATTTTATCGCTGTTAAACGTAGAAGGGTTGATAGGAAGTCATGTGAGGGAGGTCATCCTTACCTAGCAAAATGTTTGACTTTTTATTCTCCAACAAAGAGGATTGATAAATTTTCATTTTTTTTTTTTTTTTAGTGTCCCAACATTACTGTGTGCAGATTATTTCCTCATTACTCTAGAAAAAAAAATATTAGTGACCATAGAATAAAAGAATACTCTTTTAATAACTGATAGATTGAAAAAAAAACTTTATACATTTTTATTCTTCAATTAGAGTAATAAATTGTATGAAAACAATACTTTTATTTTTATAAATTGTTTTTCAGTATACTAATTATCTTATTACATTTTGACGTTTGTTACAAAACATAATACCTAAAATAATTAATAAAATGTATTTCTTTAATAAATTAGACATATTATAAATATTATTCAGCGAGATATCATATTAATAAGTTGTTTTCTGGGTATAATAATTCAAAAGTAATTTATGTCTAACATATTACAGAATTGATAAGATCATCGTTAATTATACCCTAAACCATGCATGAAATTTAATTCAGAATTGTTTGGTTGTTTTGATATAGTGATATATAAAAAACGTTTTAAACTACAGTTCAAAAACTACCCTATGAAATTTTTATTTTTTACAAAACACCATGTAATATTATGATATTTACTGGCCATCGGTTGTATTTTAATTTTCTCATTAAAATATTTTAAATCATAATATTATAAAAGTATTATTTGATAGAAAATTTATCTAAACAAAAATGTGCAATTTTTTAGCTATCTTTCAAATACTAAAAGTGACTTTTAGCAATTTTTCAGGAAAGAAAAAATAAATTTAAAATTTCAATGTTGTTTTATAGAAATTTATATTTTTTAAGTGAAAACATTATCTTTGTAGATAAAATTGACTTGTAATTTTTTGACACGTAATAATATTCTCCTCTAAACAAACTAAAAAAATCTCATAACCCCATTTTTGTGCCATATCAATTTTTGGATATGACTACAGAATTATTGTACATGTTAGCTCTAACGTTGAATTTGAAAATTAAAAAAAGGTAGTCTGCGTGTATTATATAGTTCAAAATATAATTTTTATTTACAAAAAACTTGTGGGATAAGTAATTATTCTATACTACTCAAAAACAACATTATGCATTATATATTTTAGTTTCATAATGCTAATAGTATAATAATCAACGCGTATTCGCAATAAAATTGTTTTATTGTAAATTTACCGATTGAAATCGTAGTAGATTATTATTTGATAAGCACAAACATTAGAACATTGAATTTATTCTTATTCATGATGAGATGTAGTTTACTTAAAACGATCGTGAGCTCGGAGAAATGTTATCTCACAGGAGTAGCTGTAATCAAAGATGACTAGCCAATTCTTAAGCAGATCATCCCACTTTTTAACGAGAATTATAAATTGACTATTATAGATATAATCACAATAATAATAAGAATTATAGATAATAGCAGGTTGCCTAATAAAATTTTTGTCCGACTACTAACAACATTCTGTATTTTTATGAATATATGAACTGTAATCTATTACTTACAAGTACAACAGTTTTTAAATAAACAATATTATGATACGATCAAATGATTTTCTTTCATCAAAAACCAACCTTACTTCTCAGAAATATATAACTGATATCAATTCTATAAATAGATAGTTGAATTGTTATGTAATATTAATATAAGATGTTTGAAAAGTCAAAGATTATTTGTTAATTTTATAATGTCTCTCAAATGACTTTTCGTTACAAAAACTGAAACTAAAAATTATACATATAAGTAGTATTGGAGTAGTTTGAAAGAAACAGTTCATCGTCAATACAATTCGAATGGGATTTTTTGTATGGTTTAACACCTGTAACTTTAGGTGTCAAATATTACGAGAAAATAATTAGATAATAATAAAATAATCGTTATGTAATAAAAGTTGTTGAACGCTTTGAAAAATAGAATTCAACAACAGTAAATAGGTTGGGTCATTTAAGTTGTTATCGTGGGAGTGAAAAACTAGTCAATAAAATTTAACCAACAATGTTTACTTAAGCACTTGAGTATGTACAAAGTATGTCAACACGAGGGTAGGTATTAGTACATGAATAATTTTTTACTTGTTACAATCACAAGTGTTAAATGTGTAGTTATAAGGTGTTTAGTAGTCATTAAAATCAATTAATTTGGAAGACTGCCAAGTACGAGTTATACTTAATATTTTAACCAGTGTTAAAACTAAAATCACTTTCATAGCATTGATATAAAAACGTCGTAAACATCTTTCCATACCAGAAATATTAGTCTTAAATTATCACATAATTTGATATCGACTAATGATGATTATTATATAGAACCTAAATCTTTTACTTCACCTTCTTTGACTATAATTCGACGAGTTACTTCTTTAATTATGCGATTAGCTTATAATTCTGTTTAAGTTTCGTATGCAATCCATAATAGTGTTATTTAAGTATTTTGTTTTGTATAAAAATGTAATTTTCCAAGCAGTAAATTAAAATGCACGCGGTGATTTTTAAAAAGGTCTGGGAATGTCTGTTTAAATCTAATGACATGTTACGTGAGTTTAAATTTTAACAACGGTCGCGTCGCAGCATTAATCGCTAAAAAATGGAGATCAAGATCTACATACCAGTGGGAGCATATTATAATGAACGGGGTGAGCGGAACAATTGACGAGACGACCTCTAAGTTGCGTGCGCTGGCGTGAAAGTATCTCCTCCGCAACGAACGGATTGGGGTTCGTCTTGGCCCCACCACTCGAGACCGTTTTTCTAACCCCACAGACTCGCGAAAAACTTTTACCGGTTGACTATAAATAGTGTGTAACACCCGAAATAACACATTCACTGTCATCCGATCATCGTTCCACGAGGGACACAAACGGTACAGCGTGTGCCTTCATCTTCATTTCATCTTGTTCGACGAATAAAAATATCAAAACATCAGACTATAAGCGGACTACGGTTTTCTATAGTGCGTTTTTATAGTTACATTTTCTCTTGTTTATATTTAGTCGCGTGTGATTGTGTGTGTTTTTTTTGTGACCAACACCATACAAATTTGATCCGAGCGATCGCTGCAATATAAAAGGTGAAATAACACATTTTTTTTTTTATCGTAAATCTTAATCCTGCGTTTATATTCAAGTTAAAAAAATTACAATATATCGCTACTTTCAATTATTTATTTATTTTAGCGTTTGTAATATTATTTAAAATATTTTCATGATAAACTTTGCAAAAATACATCTTTCTAATCTTACGGATCGATTAATTTCTAAGACATTCACAGTATTTGAAAATTGACAGAATAATTACTTTTTTCTTTTGATGATTAAATTTTGATTTTGTCTTTAACATTTTATTTTACTTTATCTTTTTTTGGTCGATGGGCTATTAGAAATCTAACACATATTTTTTTGAATAAATTACGTATGTATTTAGATTATAACAAATTAAAATTTTTTGTACATTTTTAAATAGTTCAATAAGATGATGACTAACCTTTTACATAACTTAAGGAATTATAGCATAAAATTTATGTTAATAAATATATTTTAAATTAAATAGGGATAATTATTACTAAAGCCGGATTTAGAAATATGGACGTCCATATTATAATAGAACAAAAAAATTTTTTTAATAGTTTATAATTTTCTGTATTTTGAACAAAAAAAAAAAGGGTTATCTATTTATGTGTAAATCGCTAAGTCTTCGCCTGATTATTATGATATTATAGACTATTTAGATTTAGTACTTAAAATAAAAACTTGTTATCTGTATACGTTGAAAATTTCCAAATAAAATTTATTTTTTGAGGTTCGAGTTTCAAAATGCATTCAATGCTTAATTATCTAGTGTTAATCAAAAAATATATTATGATAACATTGTTCAAATATATACATGTATTTTTACAAAAAATGTTTTAAGTTTATAATAAAATATGGATTTTTTGATGAGTTTACCAGATGATAAGTGTGCATACATTGCTGATTTTGAAATTTTTATATATATGGGTTTGGTCTCCATGCTTATAGTCTATACATATTCCCACTGTAATTAGAAAAAATTTTAAATAAACACTATTGCAAGGCAGGTGTAGTAATTATCCTACGTTAATCAATTGCAAAACTTATCATGGCTATCTTAACGTGTGTATTTACATTTCTTTGAGAATACAATGATATTCGCACCAATGAAGTATTGGGTAGGCACATCTGAACTAGAGCGTCGTCTCAAATAAGTGTGAGAAAATATTACTACAATTTATTACTTTAACAATGACCGCGAAGAGGAAACGTTGCGTGATTGTAAAACATTTTATCGTTTATTATTATGATTTTTTTGTTAAGACCAGTTGTTCATAACGATAATTGCAATCGATAGTGAAAACATTACTTTGGTGAAAAAATAAATTTTCACATATAAAAAATCGTAGCTAATGATTTTAAATATTTGTGAATGTACAACATTGTTATGGTGTTCAATGATAGACTAGTGTTAAGGTTAAAAAAAATGTTTCGTTTAATTTTTAAATGTATTATAGCGTTAAACTTAATGTTTAACGTTATTCAGCATTTAAATGCTGTACAAATTTTTTATGTTTAACGATTTTAATATTAAAACGTTATTCAATTTTTCTCGTTTAACGTTTCTATGTTATTAAATTTTTGTTTTATCGTTAAAAGGGTTCGAAACATAATTTACTACTATTAACAGTTTTAATATGCGCAAATTACTACTTTTTTCTTACATACATTTTTTTCATACAACGTTGGAAAGAATTTATTTTTGTTTTAATATGAATTGATTTACGTATTAAGTTGTATTATGTTTATCAATATTTTACGTTTATCAATAACTGGTATTTTTGGTTTTTTGTTTTTTGATTACATTTTGACAACATTTTTCTTATTAAACACTATAATTATAACGTTTTCTCGTCCTGTAATAGACATTTGAAAAGGGTTCAGAGTTTTTCATAGACATATAATCAGTTCAGGCGTAGAATCTCATTAAAAATTCGATAGTAACAATAATTACTGTTAGGTGAAGGTGAAAATTGTTTAAGAGTTTTCCGTTTTAGATAGCAATCATAGACCTTGTATGCGTCTTGCTCCTGAACTTACGATGTCGGGGTCACTGAATTTTCCAGCGGAACAATTACATTAAAGTTATTATTATTTATTATTATTATTTAAACGAATAAATTATCGCGTTAGTCATATACCGTGTTGACTGTCCAAAAGGTCTAATTCGATTCCAATGATTTTTTTCACCGTATTAATTTTATTTAATTACTAGCGATAGTCTGCCGTGATCAAAATGACATAGAAGTCGAAACCAAACATTAATATGTAATTTCTGCACTGATTAAGTATAGTTTATGGGAAATTCTGAAAATTATTTGATTTTATATGAAACATTAGTGTTTTACTTTATTTTAAAGCTTTATATAAGCTTTATTATAAAGCTATAAATTCTTCATCTATTATAAATTGAACAAATTTATTTTTTGATTTTTGCAGGCAGCGAAGACGGGCATCATGAAGACATCTTATTTGCATTTATTATGTAAGTGAATGTTATAATACTGACCATTTGTGTAGTGTGAATAAAAAATGATTTGAAAACAACTTTTGTCCAGTCACGACTGGAAGGTTTAAAAATTATTTATTATTATTTTATGAATTGATATCGATAGCACATAATATGGTTCATTAGGTAGTGTCTGTTATAGATGTTGGGTGTGTCTGTTATAGATGTTTGAGATTGGTAGTGAGACATTTATTGAAAAATAACAAACCAAATTTTGCCTAACACAATATAATAAAAATTATTAATTAACAAAAATACGTTTAAATGAGTTATAATAATATTCGTAATGTAGTTCAAAAAATATCTTATAGAGTTTTCAATGACGTTATCGCTAATTTTCGCTGAGTATCGTGTTTGATGTTCTTGGTTAAAGGGGTAAAAGTATGTTATGTTACTAAATATTTTTTTTTGTATATATTAAACTCTCACAATCAACACTGTAACATATATTCTGTAGAAATGTTCTTAATTGTAATATATTCATCAGTTAATAGATGGATTATCCATCGGTTACATATTTTTCATGTATAATTTACCGAATAAAACATCATCTAGACCAAATAAAGTGCTATAACGTAAGTATTTGAAAGAAACAAGTACCTCCTCTGTTAATATATACTAAATGGTTTAATTTTTAAATTTATTTATGTTGTTAATTTACTTGTTTCTCTATCCTTACGACTGTATTGATTAATAATTAAAAATTAATAAAAATTATATAATTTAAAGAATTTTTGACTTCATAAGTTTTTTAAAAATATTTTTTATGTAAGAACGACGATTTTTTTTATTATTTTCCTGAAAAGAATATGATGTATAAACCGAGTTTTTATTAATTAAAATTTAATTTAAACATAAAATATAATATAAAACTTGATATATTAAGTCCTTCATTTAGTTGACATAAACAATTGCAATATTTTTTCTAATTCATATTTTGTTATTAAAATATTTGACTACTTTGCTACAATTTAATTTTATCAAAAATAAAAAATAAAATGGTATTGAATGATTTAATTTAATATTAATAATAGTAATAAAGGATAAATTTTGAATAATTATTTGTTTTTTACAGCCATTAAATAAGTTTAAATTATAAGACGAATCCATTTATAAATTTAATTTTACAATTATTATCTATTGTAATTAGCACTTTTATGTATAATTTTTAGTGATGAGAGATTTTCTTTGATAATGCAAACTACAATTATTAATACATAATTTATATTGATTAACTACATTAATTAATAGTAGTATCAAAGTGTTTCGATACTTTGAGTAAGGGTTTGATTGAAAATAATAAAATAAATGGTTTTGAAAGTAATTCATAAAAAATGTAAATATCTTAATTAATTTATTTTTATTATGATCGGATAAGTCACAGATATTGGAAATAATATTATTATTAATCATATTAAAACTAAACACTGTTATTTGGCATCTACACGTTGAAAGTTTATATATCAACATTAAAATTAAGCAATTCATTGAATTATTACAATAAATTTTGAAAATGTATTACCTTAATTATAAATTTGTTGGTAAGAAGAAATTAATTTTTTTAAACGAGTTAAGACTATTTTCAAAATACTTATTTGATAAAAATATTTACTTCATAAACTAGTTAAGGAATTAAAAAGTAAAAGAAATTAGTGGTATTAAAAAGTAGTGATATTATTTATTTATTATTTCTACAAATATTTTAATTTGTAATACAAATTTGATATACTTACTACTATTTAGAATGTTTTAGATTAAATTGTAGGCTTGATTTTATTTTTCAAAATTAAATAATGAAACATTCATCTATATTATATTACCTTGAGTTTTCACATAAAATATTTAATTAATGTTACTTAGATATTATTTAAACAATTTTCAGGTGCAGTTTTTGCATTTTGTCATTGCTCCATTGTAAGTAAATTCTAGAAATCATTTTTTTAATTTTGAAATTTGATTGTTTGTAATACATAATATTTTGAACAGGCACAAAGTGGTTATAGTTATGATAAACCTGCTAATCCTTTAAATAGTCCAAGTTCATCACGGCCTTATGGTTCTACGCCATCATCAAAACCAACTAGCGCAAGTTATCCATCTTCTTTTCCTAGTACTGTTGGGTCATTTCCTACTCAGTCAGATCAGTTTGGTATTACAGGACCTACCGGATCACCGAGTTACACAAGTGGTTATGGACAAAATTCATATCCATCTACAATATCACAACAAGATTTTACCACAGCGAATTTCCCAAGTTCGACTGGGCAGCGACCATCTGGCTCAGGTTCATCTGGTTATGGAAATAATGGTGGCAGTATATTGAAACCAAACTATGGTCTATCTGGTCAAGGCAGTTTAGGAGTTCCTCAAAATGGTAACGGATATGGAGACTCTGGTTCACCTACTTTTGGTAATGCACCATCTAGTTCAGACGTTGGAATCAAACCTAGTAGTTTTGGTGGACAAGGACAAAATTTATTTGGCACTGGAAATGTACCAAGTAGTTATGGAAATAATGGTGGTCATGGAACAACTGGCAGTGGAAATGGAAACGCACCTAATTATGGAAGTAACAGTTTGTATGGACAAGGAAATTCTATAGGAGGTACTACTGGGTCAAATGGATTGGGTATTGGTAATGCTCCAGGTAAAGATAAAATTTTGATGTTATCATAATTGAAGTTTAAAATATTTACAGATCTAACTGACAAATCTTATAACTTGATATACTAACATTATTTTCATTTTTACACACATAGACTATATTTAAAATTTATCGTTATTTATTCTATTGTATAAAAAAATAATTTTTTAAATAAAATTTATTTGGGGATAAATTTTATTGATTAGTTTTAAATAAAAATGTTGATACAACAAACTCTTATTTCAATTCAGCTGTTAGTTCTTTGAAGTTCGTTAAAATTAGATTTTTTATATTTTTCCTATAGTATTAGGTCTGTGTTATTAAGAAAATTATAGCAGCAACTATATTATTTTCTTAATAACACTGACTAATACTATAAAAAAAGGTAAAATAATTGAAATTTCAACAACTTTAAAAAAATGTATCAATTCAACGTTTGAATAAAAATAAGAATTTATTTCTTTAAAAAATAGAAAATATTAATAATAATAAGTTAAAATGTAGTCAAATTTTATAAAAATAAAATAAAATCTTAAAAAAAAATGTTAATGTACCAAAACTTACAGGAGTTTTCAGTTAGATCTGTTCCATTCTGTATATGTAAATATGTTTATGTTAAATTCTATTTCCCTAAATGTTCAATTTCTTTAAGGAAACTACGGTGGTAATCAAAATCAAGGCAGTAATCCAGGTTTTAATGGCGCTGGTAATGGAAACGCTGGTACGCAAGGATTAAATAATTATTATGGTGGAAACTCTATAGGACAAGGACCTTTTAGCGTTGGTGGAACAAATACTGGTAGTCAAGGACCTAGTAGTGTTGATGGTGGAATTGGTGATGGACACAGCCCGAATAATTTTTATGGTGGCAGTTCTGAAGGACAAGGGCCAAGCAGTTCTTATAGTGGAAGTTCAGGAGGACAAGGGCCTAGTAGCGTCGGAAGTGGAAATGCTGGTGGACAAGGACCAAGCAGTTTCTTTGGAGGAAGTTCTGGCAGTTTAGGGCCCAGCAGTGTCGGTGGAGGAAATGCTGGTGGACAAGGACCAAGTAGTTTCTTCGGAGGTAGTTCTGGTGGTCTAGGACCAAGTAGTGTTGGAAGTGGTAGTACTGGTGGACAAGGCCCAAGTAGTTTCTTTGGAGGAAGTTCTGGCAGTTTAGGGCCCAGCAGTGTCGGTGGAGGAAATGCTGGTGGACAAGGACCAAGTAGTTTTTATGGTGGTAGTTCCGGAGGACAAGGGCCAAGCAGTGTTGGTAGTGGAAATGCTGGTGGACAAGGACCAAGCAGTTTCTTTGGAGGAAGTTCTGGCAGTTTAGGGCCCAGCAGTGTCGGTGGAGGAAATGCTGGTGGACAAGGCTTAAGTAGTTTCTTTGGAGGTAATTCTGGAGGTCAAGGACCAAGTTTTGGATCAGGAATTGCACAATCCGGTGATGGTGATGATGGATCATTCGAAGGTGGTGATTTTTCTGCAATTCCTGGGGAGCCTGATATAGATTATCCAATCTTATCTCAAATACCAAAAACATCATTTACTTGTAATCAAAAATTACCTGGTTACTATGCAGATACAGAAACAAGATGCCAAGTATTTCATATTTGTTCAAATAATATCAAATACGACTTTTTATGTCCAAATGGAACAATATTTCACCAACAACATTTTGTGTGTGTTTGGTGGAATCAATTTGATTGCTCAACGGCTGAAAGTTTATATGGTTTAAATGCTAATATTTATGATTATTCTAAAGTTGGTTCTCCTGGACAAACTGGTACTTCAGGACAGACTAATTTCCCTGGACAAGCAGGTGCTCAAGGTCCACAAACAAATTTCCCTGTAATTGTTGGACCAACTGGTCCTGCCGTAAACTATGGTGGTCAAAATGGTCCAGTTGGACCTGTTGCTAATTTTCCAAGTCAATTTGGTCCAGTTGGTCCTTTTGCCGGTTTCCCTGGTCAAATTGGTTCAGTGGGACCAACTGCCAACTATCCTGGACAATCCGGTCCAATAGGACCAACTGCAAATTACCCTGGACAATCCGGTCCAATAGGACCAACTGCAAATTATCCTGGACAATCCGGTCCAATAGGACCAACTGCAAATTACCCTGGACAATCCGGTCCAATAGGACCAACTGCAAATTATCCTGGACAATCCGGTCCTATAGGACCAACTGCAAATTACCCTGGACAATCCGGTCCTATAGGACCAACTGCAAATTACCCTGGACAATCCGGACCAATAGGACCAACTGCAAATTATCCTGGACAATCCGGTCCTATAGGACCAACTGCTAATTATCCTGGACAATCCGGGACAATAGGATCAACTGCTAACAGTCCAGTTGCACCTGGATCTTATGGCCCAACTGGACTATCCGGACCATCTGTTAGCTATCCAGGTCAATCTGGTTCTGTGAGTCCTACTGCTAACTATCCAGGACAATCGGGTTCATTCGGACCATCAGCTAACTATCCAGGACAATCTGGAATATCAGCTAATTATCCAGGACAATCCGGTTCGTATGGATCCTCTGGTTCATCTTCTAACTATCCAGGACAATCCAGTTCATATGGACCCTCAGGATCATCAGCTAACTATCCAGGACAATCAGGTTCTGTTGGACCAACTGCTAATTATCCCGGACAGTCTGGGCTTAAAAATCCTTTACAAAATAATTCTGTGTATAAAGGTCAACGTCCTACCAGCTATCCAGGCTCTCAATCATCTGGCGTTGGTTCAAGTAATGATAGACCAAGTTCACAAGGATCATATGGTAGTTCAGAAACAGGATCATCTTATGGACCTCCTAGTTCGTTACCCACATCTTCGACGTTACCCGGAACATCCCTATCGGATGCTCAATTTGTAAATAATTTCAATAACCCTCCAGTACCAGATAGAGAATATTTACCACCATATAGAAAGTAATGTTTTAAGCTCAAAATTGCCATAAGTTGAATAATCAACTTCATTGATTAGAATAATTTAGATTTATTTATTTGTATTTTTCTAAAATTTAACATAGTACTATTCTAGTTACCCCAAGTCATTTATTTTGTAAAAATTACCAGTGTTATTGAAAGTAATTTTTATAAATATGTACTTTCAAGTATATCATTTATAAAATAATTGTATATAAAACTTATTCTTACATTGTACCTAACATATTGTGTAATAAATAAATAATTTTCATTTTAATAGTAAAACATATTAATTAATGGCGTAGTTCTTAATGAAATTTGACATTTAGTGATATTTTTACAATTTCAAATATTAGACTTAAGTTTCGAAACTTTTAATTTTTTTAGCGCGTCAGATACTTTCAGGCCAATACTAAAAAGTTTTTTTACTTTTTAAGTAAACATGTCTAAGAAAACATAAAAATTACCATTGATTTGTGAAATAAATGAAATAGTTGTAGTAGGACCTGTAACGTACACATTATTCGTCCTTCACCAACATTAACATTTCAATACCACACTAGTACCTGATCAGCACAAACGTACCTACAACCTACTACAAATATGCGGCACGCGCGGGTGTAAACAAAACCGATGATATTCTTCTTCATTAAAGAAATGTATAACGACAGGCAGTCGACATTTTACCACGCTCGCGGCTACTCATTTTTTATTACAGATTATACTTTATTTACTACAACCTAATTCCGACAATATTACATTTTACTATTAATTTAATTATTAGATTTATTTTATTACAATCGGATTGTGTACGCTCGCCGCTGTCGCTCACCTAACTTGGATACCACAACATCTCTAGAGATCCAGTCAGGTTATATTTAAATATACTATTAAATAGAAATAAATGTTTGTTATCGTTGTTAGTTAAGAGTCGCAGACGTTGCAGACCTATCGTGCAATCACAGATTAATTAGCAGTAATGCCCATATCGAGGGGAATATGTTATAGTACTAAAATGGAACTTTTTTTTCTTATATATGGAGCGTAATAACTTTTACCTGGTAAAAAAGATTATGTTGATATTAATATAAATGGTTCAATTGAGCAATATCAAGAAAGGTTTTTACTTTTCAATTTAAATTAATTATATATAAAATTTAAATGAGTGAATTCATACATGAAAATTGGTAGATTTAAATTTTGTACACTTCAACCTATATAGTGTATTAGCTGGATCTTCGGGCAAACATAATGTATGTGTCTGTGTTCACCATCAAAATGAAGTTTCCTACAGACAGGAAATATACAGTTTTCTACAGTTGATGAACCAAACATGAAAATAGATTTGAATACATCAATGATACAATTTGGTACTTAAAAATACAATGTAGATGGTTTATGACTAATACTAATTAACTGTTATGGTCTTACTGAAGACTAGGATGACACAACAAAAGTGAATTCTATGAAAATCTATAAAGAATCTATAGTACACTCATAAATAACGATAGTAAAAATAATGGATAGACATAAATGCTAAAATTGGAAAGGAACCTATTCTTAAACGAAATATTGAAAAAGAAAGCTTACACGAAACATTTAACGAAAATAGAGAAAGGCTAATAAACTTAGCTTTAGCATCAAATATGATAATCAGTAGATTAATTTAATATATCAATTTATTATAAACCGATTACTATATATAATTGTAACTATCGTGATCGTTTGGATTCAGGTGCTATTTGCTCAAATGTATTTGAAAAAACATTTAAAATTTAATGTTCTAAAGGTTCTAATAAACTATGAGTATACGTTAAGCTATGTCTGCAGAGAAGATGTTCGTTAAAAGACTGACATAAAACTTAAGACTATCTTCTCAATAGGAAACACTCACAATAAGAATATAATATTGAATAAACATTTAAAATTAGATTAGGTTTGTCATTAAAATAGAATAATTTATAAAAATTTTTCATAATTAAAATATTTATTGACATTTACTTCAACGATAGTAAAAAAATAATATTATTATTAATTGAACAAATAAATATAAATTAAATGATTCATCAAACAAAACTACCTTACAAAAAATAATCTAAAGTAAACTCAAATAAAATTAAAAATAATTTTAGTATTGTTTGGAAATATATTAATTTAATTGAAAATAATTGATTAATATTTGCTTTAACTCAATTAATAAAATATTTTTCATAATTCTACTAATCTCACATAATTTTCTCCGTTATTATCACTGTAGTCACTGAATATTTGGAAATTATCAGTAAATATTGAATATGATAAAATAGTTTTAAAATCAAACTTTTTGAACGATTTATCAAATAACTTTATAAATAAATATATTCTTACTAAATTCATATTCATATCATTAAAATCCGTGAATGTCATTAAATGTTCAATAGAATTTTTAATATCAACACTTAACTCAATTTGTGAAATATATATTTCAGTTCTATCATGGATAGTCGATTCGTAGCCTGGATCACTAATTAAATTATCTAAAATAAGATTAAAAGAGTTTGATTTTATTTGATTTATTATGCTTTCAATTTTTGGAATAATAACAATATAATATAGGCTAAAATTTTCAGTGAATGTCGGTAATTCTTCAAAAGATTTGAATACTTTTTGAACATCATGATATTCGTGACCATCAAATAATACAATAGTATTCTTAACTAAATAATACATTTGATTTAGACTACTCATTGCATATCTTACATTTTTATATTTTAACATTAATGAACTGTACATTAAACTTTTTCTCATTAAATGCATTAAAACGGTTTTAAAAATGTTTAACAATTTTTTTTGGTAAATTCCAATTTGTTTTATCCATACATTGAACCAAAAATAATTCTTTGCCGTTGTATATGCCTCATATATTTCATTGTAGATAGCTTTAAAAGTATCTTCACTTTGTTCACCAAAATCCATTAGAACAGTTTTCAATAATTCTTTGTTTTCAATTATGTCACACAGGTAAATACTTCTGAGTGAGAACATATTTTCTAGTTCTTCTTCATTTTCTAGTAGAATTTTGTTGATTTCTTTTCTCCGATTCATAATATTTATTAAGTTCACGAGAGTTATATATTTTCCCGAAATATGTAAAGGAATATTATATACTTCATATTTATTATTTTTTCGACATATTTGTGTACTTATATATCTTATTGATTCGTAAACGATTGCGAGAGTAGGTTTAATAAATTGGTGATATTGATATATTTCATTACCAAATAATTGAATATACTTATTATATAAATGTATCATCCAAAAAATGGTTTGTTTATCATTAAAATTAAACTTTATCATTGTAACTAAAAATTGTTTTGTAATCGATTCATTTAAAATAATTCTGTTTATATCGTATCTAGAACTAGGTGGAATTGTAATGAAAAAAAAAAAAAGAGATAAATATTGAAGATAATTAAATATATTACCACAATAAAGGTCATGGCATATTATGGTCGTTTTATTCGTTAATTCAATATTTTCTAGATATTGTTCTCCAGCCAAGATTTTATTTTTGAAATCTAAAATTGACAAATTGCAAAGTTCATCATAACTAGGATAATCGAATCCTGTGTCTAGTTTTAAAGCTATTTCTAATGGTTTATCAACTTTATTCCCGAATATTAATCCGTAACATAATATTGTCTCCACAACACATAACAAATAAAGCAACACAGTGTATTTTTTAAAAAACATTTTTAACTGTTAATGTATAAATTAGTTAATAATGTATACGATATCAGTATATTTTTTTGAAAAAGTTTATTTAAGTATTTTTTTGGAATACTTAAGTAGGATTTTTAATTTCAAAAATAGATTACGTAAAGCATAAACTATAAATTTAATAAAGTATTGTTCAAATAATTTATTTTTATAAACAATACGAACTCTAATTTTGCATGCCAGCTGTTGGTTTAAGAAAATTATAAATTTTTGTAAATAAATTATTAATATCAAGTACTTATAAAAATATAACAAAAAGTAAAAATATTCTTTTTTTTCGTGCATTATATTTAAATATTATTAATTAAAATTGTATTATAATCGAGCTGTCTTTGTATTGTTAAAACGTAATGTCTGTTACTAGGTATTATTAGAATTTTTTATTTATAAAATAAATCGCATAAAAACATGCTATAAATTTAATTAAGATTTATTTAAATAAACTATTTTAATAAGAAAAAATATTGAGCTTTAATTTTGTATGTTATTTAAGATTTTTATAATTTTTATTATTAATTATATATAAAGATATAGCGATATATTTTTTTTAATGAGACCTAAAAGTGAATTTTACTAATTTATTGTATAATTTTGAGGCTTTATGGACTAACTTAAACGGGTTATTGCTAGGCACTTAGTTTATCTTAAAATAATAAATGTTTTGAACATTTTATTTTTATTAAATAAATATGTATTTCCATTTATCTGTTTAAAGTAATTTTTAGCTCCATCCCTTATACCTTATAAGGATCTCAACTTTATATTTTTACATGACAATATATATATTTAACTAGCTTATAAAATAAAAAATATTTAATTAAGAAAATGACTAGTTGATAACAACTTTTAAAGGTTACCATTTAAAAATATAAAGTTCATACCCCTATCAGATACAAGGGATGAACCTAAAAATTACTTTAAATAGATAGATGAAATTGATGGAGAAACAAAATTAAGTGTAAAATTGCAATATATATTAAACTAAGAAAATTGTAACCTTTAACTTTGTCCGCCGACGTGATTTTCTTTATAACTAAGACATTCAGCTCTAGTCTCATTAAGACTAGCTATCCAGTATAGTAAGCCAAAAGTATAGTTTTGATGTGATAATATTATAATAAATAAAATTGGGTGTGTTGATTAATTAATTTGAATTTTTGAGCACTTGAATAAAATTAATCATCTTACTTTTGGTTACTATAATTCAGTTTACTTAATACTATTGGGGTTGTGGAGTCCGAGGGTTTTAGAGAATGACAATACAATTTGATAAAAGGGTTATGATAAATATTGAGATTTAATGTGTGTATCAAATTTATTAACTTTGGTGAATCATTTGAATAGTCTCACGTTTCAAAGGCACGAGCTTAGGTCGGCAACTATGAAACATAATAAGAAAATGCGTAGGTACGATCTTTGGTCAAGCACTTCGAACGCATTTAATAATTCTCCTGACAAACCAGTTATAAATTTAGTATGTGTAAAGATAAATTAATTATTATTGTTTTGTCATTTTTGTATCTCGGATTAAATAATTCCAAATTATTGGAATAAAAATGTATCACCTACTTTATAATATTTTCGGAATTGAAATGAATAATACTGACAAGTTTTTCTTTCTGAATATTTGAGAGACTGGTGGTCTATTCCTTCATTTGACTCTTGGCTTGAGAAGTGGAATGTCTCAATTTTATAGTTTTTTACGGCTTTTTATATGAAATCTATGATCTATATATGTCACCAAAATGTAAGAATTGACTACCAGGGCTCTCATCTTTATTGAAACGAAAATTATAAGCAGGGATAATATGTTACATTGGTTATGGTACATTTGATTTTTCTTAGGGATACTGTTACTTAATACATTGTCTTTGTAGATTAATTTACAGTGTTTACATTTATGATACAGATATTTATCTTAAACTGAACAAGTACATACATTGTATTAATTTCATTAGTGATTATGCTATGATATTAATTTAAGATAATTATTTTGTTTTGTGGTAAACATTGCGATTAATATTAAATTTGAGCGATGAACGGTTATACCAGTAAGAAAAGTTTACATTAAATTTATATCATTAAATGAATATTTAGTTATTTAAAGTTGGGTTTGGTGACTTCAACGTATATTTACAAACTAATTTTAACTAGTTCTGTTAGGTATAGAAAAGGCGTATTTTTATAAAGAAAACAAATAAGAAAAGGAAATCTAAAAGTATACCGAGCGCGTAAAAATAACTTACGATTGGTAAATAAATTATTTAACGGATAGAAACCCAATGTAAATACAATGTTAATTTAACCGATTGTAATTTGACATAATCAGATATTAAATATAACAAACATCAATAAATTAATTACTACATAGATATAATAATAAAACATGAAAATTCTGAACAGTAAATAATAAGTTATCCATACAATATTAGAAAAAAAATGTTCAAAATAATAAAATGAAAAACGCAAAGATCAATATTTATTTAATTATAATAACGCTTTAAATGATTTGATGAAGCATTAAATACATAATCTGATTACTGATTTGATGTATAAAAAGTTTTTTTTAATCATGTATTACAGGTAGGAATATGAAATTTTAGTTTTCGTAAAAATTTAGGACAATCAATTTTATTCATAAGAATATTGTACAAAAAGTAAAGATCTAATTTAATTCTTCTCTAACTAAGTAAATCAAAATTTAATGAAGAAAGGATAAATTCAACCCAACCTGTTATAATTTTAAGTCTTAGATACATAATTGTTGTATTTAACAAATTGGATACAGTTAGTAAAATAAGGAAATAACTATGATAAAATAGGGTCATATACTCCATACGCCTTAAATTTATTATACAGAATAATGTTAACTGTATCAAACGCTTTGGAGAAATCTGTATAAATAACATCTATTTGATTTTTATTTGATAAAGCAATTGACTAATAAAGAAATAATAACAGCGTCGGGGATCCATTATTGTCTTTGAAAATACCATCAAATTTAATATAAAATTTTTTTTCTCGGCTGTTCTTAGTTCACACTTCATTTTAAATTAATTTCTCAGCTTTATTTACGCTATAAAATGCCAGCAAATGTATATACATATAAGAAATGATCGACTTCATAAAAATTTTACATATTATAATAAAAAAGAAAGTGTATTTACAAATAACATCCAAGTAAAAAAATAATAAACTCACCAAAATGCCATAAGATCTAAAATTAAGTTTTGTGAGTACATAGTTTAAGGATATAGAAAATTCAAGTTATTATTATGAATAAAAAAAAAAAAATTGTATTGATCTATACATTTTTAAAAAGTTATAGTAATATAAATTAAAAAAATAAAAGACAGCCACAAAAAAAACAAATAGTAAAAAATTTTATTATTAATAAGAAAGTTTTTCTCGCGAGAGGAGACTACAGTGATGGGTCTTTGATTTTCATTGAAGTCATTTAATCAAAATGAGATAAAAATCAAATGAATAAAAAAGTTTTTTCTAACTCACAAAGAATTTAAAAAAATGCAAGAAATTCATTTTTACAGGCAGGTTCGAACTTCGTATAAAGTGTGAAAGACACAAGTGTTACCGACTGGGCAACTGTACCTCACATAAAAATGGTAAACATGATAAAAATGACAATTTTAAGTTAATTCGATTTCAAAGTTATTTTTCTCAACTTAAAAGAACCAAAATATTTAAATAAGTTTAACATTATATGCTATGCCAAACAGATTTATATAATATTTATGAAAATCAGTGATTCCCCTTGTAAAGTATTTTAAAATAAAATAAAATACAAAACTGAGAATTATAACACAAAATCATATCATATTTATGAATACTGTAACCATTTCTACCATAAACACAATCTAAAGTTCAAATTTTTTTTTCACATTTTAAAGTATATTATATAAGCTTTAATTTAAGAAATATATATAAAAGTGTCAGTATTTCCTGAACATTTTCAAAAAATAAGTTCAAAAAGGTTGAATTTTCTATTTGTGTTTATAAAGAAAAATGGTCCCATTTAAAAAAAAAGTATGTCGGATAAAAGATTATACATATAAAGTATTATAAATAAAAAAATTAATTGATCCATAATTTTTTATAATAAGTTATAGAAATATTGTCGTAATATACTCGTCACTACCATAACATGGGATATTTATACATTATACTCTTAGAAGGGGACATGATCCATTTCTAACAAATAATTTAAATAAACATTTAACAAACACACACTGTTTAGTTATATTATAATACACACGATTCTATCATAAATTGATTAGTAGTCACTTTTAGAAATCGTTCCTTCCGAGAGGAAATCCATAAATTATTTGTCATATTTGTTACTTTATTTTTAATAATTAAATGCATTGTATTAATCCTGGTCTTATTGGTAAAAAACTATGTTAATGTTATGTATAAATGTCAAAATTATTTATATTCTATTTATCTGTATTTATATTAATATCTCTGTATTTTATGCTTATTTATCTATAGACAGTTATACTGTAAGAATTAAACAATGAAGATTTTCGGGGGTAAATATATATTATAAAAAGGCAGAGCAAACCCTTATTTATGCATGTTTATTTCATGCTCTAGATATCGTTACACGGTTATGGCGATTATCATTGTCAAAGGAAGTTCTTACGTGCTTGATTTGTACACTTAAACTTGAATTTGTGTTGCTTTATTTATCATTTTATTAATATTATCACTGAAGTTATTATAACAACTGAAGAAAAATTATCAGGTAAGATTTTTAAATCTATAAGAATATTTATATTGTCATTTTTTAACCCTTGAATCAAATTCCGAATCAAAAGTAACTCTCATTTTAACTCTCACTTTAATTCACTCAACAATAAACGTTTTTTAATGTTTTTCTTTTTCTTTTATTAATTTTTAAGTTACGTCAGTATAAAGTTAAAAATATAACATCGATAATTTTAATACAAAAATAGTATATTTTTGAAAACGGTAGCCATTTTGACCATGAAGACAAAATTAAATTTCGAATTTTTTTTTTCATATTGAAGTACATGACAAGCTTTAATTTAATATATATAATTTAAGAAACCGAAATATCTGCAACTAAAACTTTTATGTGATTAACTTTTGATAAATGTTTACGAATACAATATTATTAACTTTAAATATTAAAAAATAATATTTCCGTTTTTTTGAGTAGTATAAAATAAAAAACTTTCCAAGGAAGTTTGATTGTATTTAAATTGTTTCGAAACATATATTATTTAAATAAATTACTGATGACGTTGACATTTTTTGAAATATAGTAAATATTTAGGATTTTGTAAAATGTAAAATAATTTAAAATATTTAATTGAATTATANAATTATAAATTCTGTAAATTAACCAATTTTACAATGAATATAAATAACATATTTTAAATAATTAAAATTTATTGTCTAATAATATGGTTATTTTAAAAAATAAGGTGAACTTCATACGAGTATAATGAGGACTTTTTTTGTAAATTTAATCATAATTTTATAAAATTTTTAATTTATAATAATATATAATAAGGATTAAAATTATTCGAGTAATTAATTTATACAAAGTTTTCTGTACAATATATAATTTATACATTAGTCGTTAATCTACTTTTGATATATCGTGAGCAAAATTTAAATACAATTAACGTAAAACTAAAATATTAATACACCTTTTTGCCGAGGACTAGAGACAAAAAAGTTAAATATGTTAATAGATAAATTGAGTTTATAATATTTTTAATAATTTTTGAAAAAATTATAAATAGCTTACTAAACTTACATGGCGTAGAGTAATTATTGTAAATATTTGATCAAATATAGGGTTATAAATATGTTAAGTAAATAACTATTGAAATTATTTTAATATATGAAAAAATATAGATAATCATTACATTTATTTAGACTTCTATTTGACTTACGTTTTAAGGTAACTATTTAAACAACTCTGGTGAATATATTAATAATTCACACACGTTATGTCCAATTAGAAATATATTTACAATAGTAATATATAAATTTCAAATTAAATTTTACGGACGAATTCGATTATTACTTAAATATTTTAGTATGATTTTTTTGTATTGATTATCAATAATTTAAAAGTAAAATTAAAAATATTATTTAGTATAAAAATAATTAAAGCTTATATATTTTTCATTTTTTATGTTTATTTTCCAAATTTTGAAGTATTATTTCCTAGCTTAAAGTATTTAATAAGTTAAATTGAGCGTTTTAAAATTATTTTGTTTAAGTGTTAAAAATTTGTAAATGTTTTATATTATCATTCATTATTATTAAGTCATTACGCGTTTGATTAAAAAGTTAATCGAGGGCTTGCAAACATTTATTCATTTTAGAAATTCAATCTTTTTTTAAAAAAAGTAATAGCTAACATTATGTTATTATTGTATTTCTATTGGATTTTTTTATAAATAAGATATTCCATATCAATTGTTGATCAAGTAATGGTATTTTTGAATATATTTGAATCTTGAAAAAAAAAAATGTTTAAATAAGAATCATTCAAAATCTTTAATCTATTAGAATGCGACAGATTTCAATTATGTATCTTCAATATTTAAAATTTGAATAAACTTGGCCAAATTCCTCCGTAAAAATTTAAGCTAAAATTATTATATTTTTGGTTTTCCTTATATGAATAATTCTGTACATAGTATTAATACTAATAATAATAATTCATTAAACAAAGGCATTTGTTCGGCTAATTGTTATATGACATATAATCAGCCAAACTTTAGTTAAATCTATGGCTCATTGGATGCAATAGAATACAAAGATTTTAGTAGTTCAACTGCTCTAGCATCAGATTCCTCACTCAGCCCTGAACCAATATCATTGGCACCTTGCCAAGATGTTTCTGCTTCTGGAGTTTTAGCAGATGTAGTACTACTAGTTACTTTATTTCTATACACAACTCGTCTTCTTGTCCCTTTTCTTGCTTTTCTGTCATGACCATTTTGAACAGGACTTCCATCTTGTTCAAGTCTTTGACCAAATGGAATTGACGATGATAAAGATGGAGTAGGATAAGAAGTTTCAGGAAGAGGCGTTGTTGTGAAATAATACGATTCTGTGCTTTTATTTTCTAATAAAGCATCAATAATATTATGTCTTGTTTGTTCTGGATCGTTATCTTTATTTGGATCATTAACCAGCAATAATACCAATCTGAAAAATAAAACAAATAAACTTGGTTTTTAAAAAAAATATATTTTTAAAATAATTAAAAAAATAGAGGAAAGTTTCAATACCGTTTTATTGTGTCGTTTGTTTGTGCAGTCTTCATGACATTAATTAATATTCCTGCTTCTGTATCATTTAAATAATTAAACATATCTTTGGCTTTTTCCATAAGTTCAGGTGTTTCTGTTTCAAATGGAGGTGTTGTGAAGTAAACAGGTTGCTGTGTATTGAAACGAATGTCTTGATCAGAAGAATCTAAATTAGGTGGAACTGTCCATGCTAACGAGTTGACAACTGAACTAAGTGGTTTTGCCACTCCAACAATGGTATTGTCACGGCTTGTAAAGAAAGATTGACTGCCTGCAGTTTGTAGTTGCTCGCTATCAGCAAGAGGTGCATAATCTTGAACTCCACCTGTTGCAGATGAATCTGTATGACTTGATATAATATCCACTAATGGAGATGTTGTATATTGTGGTACAATAGTAGAGAGATCGGCTAATGTCGTATGATCTTGAGTTATTCCGTTGACTTCTGCTGCTAAATTCAATGGTGTTGATGAAGGGCTGATGGGAAAACTTATAGAACTAGATGCTGTTGTAATTTCAGGTTTTTTACTTCTAAGGTTCTTGGAGTCGTCTGAAAAATCCAATACTTCTTGATCTTCGATAGTGTTTGGCTTTACACTGGGTGGTTCAGTTGGTCGTACTTCGGAAAGAATTTTACGAAAGTTTTCAGGATCATCTAAATATGCTGTAAGGGCACGTGTGAATACAGCAGCTAACTCTCTAAGCTCAGCTGATGATCGATTAAGAACTAAGTTTTGAGCAAAGTTGTTTACTGATTTAGTAGCATCAGGCATATTATTTAATGTAGCATTTAAACCAAGTTTTACGTCAACGGATTCTTCCTTGGTTTTATTTTGAAATAACTTATCGTAAGCTTCTTTTGTGTTTTGAGTTAATACTACTGGTAATTGTAAATTATCTACAGATGTGGTCGCTTCTTCAATAGTTTCATCACTATTAGTTTTTTCTGGCTCGTTAACAAATGTTTTTGTGGTATGATCAGCATAAATGGTGGATTGTGCTTCATTTCCTATTGTTGTTGATTGTACAGAGTCTTTGTCATCATTATTATATGATGCCAGTGAAGTCTGCTCTTGTTCAGTATTTCTTACCTGTGGATAAACATTATGCTTGTCTTCATTACTATTTAAATTATTATCTGTCAATGTGGTGAAAGAATTAACAACAATAGGGGCTAACGTTTCTCTAGCCAGTGACCCTGTTGAATTATACATAGTTCTGTAATTATAAATAGTAGTTCCTACAGTTGATTCATATTGAAAAGTTGTTGGATAATCTGTAGTTACAGAGGGATTTGTTTGCGTGAAATAATTTTGAGGTGAAAATAGACTTTGATCTGTGTTTTGATTTTTAAGAAATGATGATGATTCTGCGGGTTGTTGATATTCTTGGGGTAATAAAGTTTTTGGTTCATCTGATGATGATAAAGTGGTTTTTGGATATGAATCAGTTAGATATGTAGTTTGGACTGTACTCGTTTCTTGATTTCTTTCAGATTGAATGGTCGAAGATGGTTGATATTGACTTGATTGTGCATTAGTAACACCTTGTTCCCAGTTTCCTTGAGATATAGGCAATGTTGATGGTTGATAATTATTATTAAGGTGAGTGCTACTAGAATCTTGATTCCAAGTTCCTTGTGATGGTGTAGTAGTTGATTGATATTGATTACTAGATTGGAAATTTCCTTGATTTAAAATTACTTGAGTTGAAGACGGATAAGAGTTATAAGGTAACTGATAATTAGTACTTCCTGTATTTACAATTGGTTTTAGGGTTGTTGTAGATAGTTGGTTATAATCATTTATTGTTTGGAAATTATTATTGGAGCTTATTACCCCGGATGGATTTGGTGTAGTTTGTGGGATTTGTTGCAGATTGTATTGATAGTTATTATTGGTATTTTGATTCCAAAATGTTTGAACAGTTGTTGGTTGAGTTTGGTAATTACTTGATGCAAAGTTATTACTAAAACCTTTGTTCCAACTTGGTTGTGTAGTGGTAGATAACTTTTGGTAGTCATTGTTATTTCCTTGATTCCAATTAGGTTGGGATGTTGTTGTAGATAGTTTTTGATAATTTAATACGGGATATTCACTGTTAAATTTTTGGTTCCAACTTGATGGTGTACTAGTTGATTGAGATTGGTAATTAATAGTTTGGTAATTATTATTAGAATTTTGATTCCAAGTTGGTTGAATTGATGTAAATTGGTAATTATTTGAATTAAGAGAGTTATATTGATTCAATTTATTGAATGGTTGACTATTAGCGGAAGACTGGACTTGGTAATTGTTAGTTTGGATATTTGCATTACTAAACCAATTTCTTAATGGAAATTTTGGTTGTGAATATAAATTATTAAAGGATGTTTGATAATTATTATCACCAACAATTGAACCAGATTCCGCTGGCACTTGATTTTCATCTTTTGTTGATTCACCATAATATTTAGCACTATTTGGTAAATTACTTTCCGAGTTAAATAATGTTGAACTTCTTATTGGTGAGCTTTGAGTTGGGGTAAATGAATTAATTGACTTTGTAGATTGAACTTTCAGTGTTGATTTATTCAAAACTTCTGAGCGATCTTTTACAGCTCTCTGATCAAATGCTAATTGTTCAGCACTTTCTTCATACAGTTCTACAGATCGCTCGCAATCTACTCGGAACCACCAATCACAAATCAAATGTGATTGTCGGAATATAGTGCCATTGGGACATAAAAATGACACTTTTCTTCCATTGTCACATATATGAAATACCTGTAAAAACCATATTAAATTAATTTTTAAGGAAATTTGAATTTACTATATGTTTATTTTTGTGTGTTTCTCGCTACATTTTTGAGCTCTCACAGTACCAATTATTTTTAACGATAGACAAAAGATCACAAATTATATCTAGTTGAAGAAATTGCCCTCAAAAATAAATAAAATTTCTTTCGTTATTATAAATGGTGAAAATCTCCCAAAAATTTACTATTTTCAAAATCAGTAAATTTCAACATTTTCTTTACTTTTTTTCATAGAACTACCATAACTTTTTTAAAAGTTAACTAATAAAAATTATTTTATTTTATTTTGCTACAAATCTTTATTAAAATTAACCCTTAACCTGTCCACAGGGAATGAAAATGGCGTCTTTTGCAAAGAAATTGTAAAAAACTTTTTGTATAACATTTGCAACTTTAAATTGCTATTTTTTTTTAGGAAATGTATAGATCAATACCATTGTTATTTTTTTTAATACTTTGTTTACTCTTTTCATCCGACATACTTTTTTAAAATAGGACCATTTCTCTTTAAATACGGTATGTTCAAAACTTAAAAAATTTGATATTTACACATGAAAAAATAGAATAAAAAAAAAAAATAATTTTTTCAAGTTATAGATTTTTAATATGTTAAAAATAATACGTACAAAATTTCAAATCAATATGTCATTTTTATCTTATTTCTGTGGTCATTTAAAGTCAATTTTTAAACACTATTTTATCTTACCTTGCAAGTTTAGATTTAATATGTGATCAGGAACTTTTATAATTACTATTAGCAGTAAATTTATGAAAAAGTCCAAAACTTCGTTGGAATCACTTTTTTTTTTTTGTATTTATATCGTAATAAATCATTTTAATTTAAATACTAATCTTTTCTATGTAACTTTTGGTATTTAAATAGATAAGATAAATAAAACATTTAGAGCTATATTCCGTAAATTTATACCCAATAGTTTTTAATTAATTAGAAATTATATCAATAATTAGAAGCGTTGGAAAAAATTTAATTTCAGATTTTATCAGAGCAGACTCCGATGAAAATTCCTTGTAGACCATTTATTCATAATTAACATCAAATTGTTTTCTGAAATTTATGTATAACCCACCCATTTTTTTAACTAAACAAGAATAATTAATTTACTATTGGTGATTGAGTTTAAGTATGTTACTTACTTATTAAAGTTTCTAAAATTCTTTACAAAAGTTTTAAGGAATTTATGTATTTTATTTTCAATTATTTTGATATGTAATAATATATTTAAACAATAATTTTTTTCACCTGACAATTTGTTTCTAAGTCAGCATAATAGCCGGGTTTCTTAACTTTTTTGCAACTAAATTCAGTTGTTGGAATAGAGGATAGAATAGGAAAATCAACTCCGGGTCTACCCATTACACCTGTAATTTTAAGAAATGTTTATTTGAAGTAAAATTTTTGTGTTAAAATATCCTTTTTTTACCTTGGTATGCCTGTTGGTCAGTAATAGATGAAGTTTGAAGTTTTCTAGGTAAACGCTTGAGACTTTTTCGTGACCCATCATAATTTTTTTCAATGTCGTCAAAATCTTCTAAGTATGTAGCTGCATTTAAAATTTCTGCTACTTGTGGCAAATCATTTATGGTAAGTATTGATGATCCCAACTATAAAATATATTTAATATTAAAATTATATTAAAAATATTAATGTATTAATTTATGTAAAACTAATAGATATAAAAAAAATTTAACTCGAAAAGCCATGAAAATTGCGGATACATATTTTGGATACGCTAAACGCATGTGTTATAGTCGTAATCGTTGTCTTTCTTGTTATTGTTACAGATAAATAGCCTGCAATGCAGTCTCTGGATATGGTATAGTGGACCCAAAGCTTTCTGTCCCAATGCCCCCGTTGGATGACTCTTTTAATATTACAATTTTACCGAACATGGTAATACTAATCCCAAAATATTTTTTAAATTTCTAGTTTTAAATTAATATTATTTTTATATTTTTAAATAATATTAGCAACAGTGATCTACTTTTGTTATATGAAGTTATATATATTAAGATATTCGAGTAAAAGTGTGTAGCTTTTGTATATGATAAATAAATTTATAAAGTACAATTTACTACGGAAAGAAAAAGTTAATCATCATGTTTACATCGACACTCCACTACTTCCATCGTTTTGGGAAAATTTCGTGCCATGAAATAGTTTCTTAGTCACGACAAACCAATATTTCTTTAGCATGTCTAAGAGAAGGTAAAAAAGAACGTTTGCTGGGAACTGAGTTTGTTAGGAGTTAATACAACATTACTAGTGCATATAATAAAAATACTAGACATAAGCACGATTAAAGATGCTTTTAGATATTTACTACCCGCTTTAGTTTATACTTAAATTCAATAAACAATTGTTATTATTGGGTCTTTTAATCTTCATTAGTGTTATAGAAAATAAAGTTTATTTTGATCTATTTGATAATTAGCATGTTCAACAAGTATTTCAAAAACAGATTTTAATCCACATTTAATAATGTGAATTTACCATTAATGTGAAATTATAATATCATTCCATTTTTTTTTTTTTGAACCAAATAATTAATTTATAAATTGAAACTATATTGTCGTTTTGGCGTCAAAACTATATATCGCTATGCGCAACAAATAAAGTAACTAAAAAATATTCATTTTCAGATTATGAGGTTTTTGAATTTTGGTTTTACTAATAACTTTCATCTAAATTCCGACAATTTGGATCGAATCGGAATTAAACTACTAAGAAAATTGATAAGCATATAGTGTGTAAACAGAGAATAATTTTTATTTTCGATATTCTGAAAAGTGAGTATAAGAGAGTTATTGCCTTATTTTTCGTGCATATCGATATCTCTACATCAAATTTGTTTTATATAAATCAATTTTAAGCGTTTTTTAAACAAAAAATTTTATTTTTCTTAACAAAAAGAAAATGATTAGACGTAAAAATATATTTTAATAATCCATTATTTAAATAGACTATTTATACATTAAACGATCTTATATTTAATTTCTTATGAAGGGAATTTTTTTTAACTAAGCTTTTATTTATAAAAATATAAAAGTTAAATAAAATTAGTTTGAATAAATGTAAGTTTAATAATTTAAAATTAACGTGACTTTGTTTGCCTATTTCATAGTTATTGTGAAACAGAGTAGAGTCGATGAATATAAGAACTATTCGTTTTCTTCAATCTTATTGTCTTAATAATAATTAGACTAAAAGTCAACATTAAACGTAATAGATCTCTGGAAATAGTTCTCAAACTAACTTAATATTTTCTTATTTAGCATTACGTAACAATATTCGGAAATTAGATGATGTTGGTCATCGTTATTTTAATAATATTACTATGAAAAACGGGCGCGAGATGTTCCATTGTTGTCCAAGCACCTCTCATTTTATATTTTATTAATAACCTTTCTTCCTGTACCGGTTGTAAATATGCTGTTTTTGTACGTTCTGAGAAATTTATTATTACTTGATGAGAGACTACCGAAATGACAAATGAGAGCTATTCAAAAATTGTTGATAACGTTTCGCATTTGGTTTTATGAAAAATTATACATTATACCTTATATTGATATCTTTCCAATCGGACATTGATTTGAAACTTACAATCATAAAATGGGACAATACAACATTTTTTATGAAAACTAATTTTAACAAATTTAACTTCCATGTTAAAATACTTGGCTGTAAAAATTCAAATAATAACATATTTTAAAATAAAAGTCACGGGTTATATTCAAAATTCGTAAAAAATATTTCGTTAAAATCTGCTATGTTCTATAGGATAAATTATAATTTCTTTGATGTCTCAAAAAGTTCTAAATTATTTACATCAATTTTAAATTAAACATTTTTTGCTCAGTAAAATCTATTTAAATTTAAAAGAATTTTGGAAATTTATTATGTAAGTTAGAAGGGTTCGGAAGAGGTGTGGGAGGTTACCATTCTTGTATATATATATACTATTGTTTTGGTAAACAATTTTTCAATATAATAGAGTACTACCAAAATATCATAATTGAAAATTAAAATTTTTACAGGTTAGTTTGTTTCACAAAACTCACTTAAATTATCAAAAAATAAACATAATATTGATTTTTCTTCACTTAATTATTTCAAATACATAATAAACTAGTTTATTTAATAGATAATGATTTAATTAAAAAAATAACTAGTCGATGAAAATTTTTGGATCAGTATTTCGAAAGTTATTGACATTTTTATATCTAAACGGGAGGAAGAGTGTGGCTGAGAAATGACTAGTGATAAAATTAATAACATCCGCTGCCACCTCCAATCACTAAAACATAAATAATAAGTTAAAGAAAGGTTTTATTTGTTTTTAAATATTGTTGAGTAATTGAGATTATTTATAAAAGGTCTGATTTCTTTCTACTCAATATGTGTAATTTTTTCATGAAATTACTAATTTTAAATTTTACAAATAATATTAAGTAACTTAACATTATTTCATGTTTTAAATAAAATATCGCAAAAATTAAATACAAAAATCATTAAATTATATCTAAATATTTTAGTAAAAATATTCATTACTAAAAAAATGTTGATAAAAATTTACTATGTTTTTAGAATATTTAAAATAATATTTTTTTTTACTTGCTTAAATTTTATTTAAATAATATAGTAAAATTATGTTTGTTTTTAATTAAAAAAAAAAAAATAGTACTTCTTATTTTTTAATATGTAATTTATTATTTTTATTAGTTATAATATAATAAAATACATTTTTGAGCTCATGGTATTAATGTTCTTGATTCAGGTGTTCATTTACTCGTGTATACTTTTAACGGCACTATATAAGTTATTCGCAAGTACATAAAATGTTTAATTGTATAAAATACTTCATTAAAATCTATATAATACGTATGTATAAAGATAAGTTATATGGTTACAAAAGAAGGTTATGAAATGGATAGTAATTTATTACCTTATATAAGTGAACATACATTAAAAGTTTCCTCTACTGAAGAGCCGAATTTAGTATTAAATGCCATTAAAAATCGCTTTATAGGAAAAGAATATTTTGAAAAACTAGGCAGAACATTTAAAGAAAGAATGACTTTGTTTGATTAAAATACTTGCGATTAATAATAATTGAGTATCAACATTAAATATATAGTAAAAAAACTAAAAAAAAAAAACTGAATATCCTTAACACTATTTCGTTTAAGAAATTTATTAAAAATTATTAATCACAGTTTTACAATACTGAAACATAAAAAAAAAAACCCAGCACAGGGGGGTCGCGGCACAGAGGTGACGTGGCATAGTTGGATCAAGTATAATGATATCTGATAGTGATTAAAATCACTATCAAAAATAAACGCTTCGATGCAAATCTTTAGATAGTGTTTAATTTTAAAAAAATTGGTGTTTTATTCCAAAAGCTACTTGATCTGCTGGTTCCTTATTAATATCTCGATTAAGATAAAGTATGTCGAATGAAAAAGGGTTTATTAAAAAATATTATTT